AGAATGAAAAAAGCATTTGACAAAAAGATCCGTCCTCGAAAGTTTTATCTTGGTGATCTGGTCCTAAGAAGGGTCATCATACAAAGCCATTCCGATCCAAGGGGCAAATAGACTCCCAATTACGAGGGACCATACATCGTGAAGAGAGCTTTTTCAGGAGGTGCCTTAATCCTGACAGATATGGATGGGGGAGACGTTCCGCTCCCAGTCAATTCAGACTCAGTCAAAAAATTCTACGCATAAAAAGGCCCTCTAGGTCGAAAACCCGAAAGGGTGACTTAGGCAAAAAAATGGGCATCCCGGTGGGCACAAAAGCCCAGGAAAAAGTTAGGGATAAAATGAAAAAAATAACAACCCGCTAGGTCGAAAACCTGAAAGGGCGACTTAGGCAAAAATGGGTATCCCGTTGGGTCGAAAACCTGAAAGGGCGATCCAAGCAAAAATTAGGGATTTCAAGCGAGAGGTTGCAGTCTGAATGCTCTTCACAAATGACACGCGCACATCTATAGCACCTTGGCAGCGAATTGACCGATCCAACTACTACTCTTCAGAGGCAAGGCATTGAGATAACTTAGGATATGGGAACTGTAGCAATACCGGTTTTAATGGAAATTCGAGCATCTCTCATTGCCATTTACGCTTGTTGTACTTTTTTCGTTTCTATTTTGCAGCTACCTCATATAGGAGTTGCTTCCTTGTACGAATGCCTATTCACAGGCCAATCAATAAAATCTGTTTTCATCAAAGTTGCCTCTTATTATCATGAAATGTTTTGTATGCAAAATATGTTTTATTTGATAATTAAACATGGCGTTAGAAACACAGGGAATAAAAATTCTCAAGCCAAGGTAAAACGTGACTTCACGTCAATGTATAACCATGTGGGGATGTCATATGCACTCCGAATGTTGTTTTTCCTTGCAGGTAGCAATTTGTAACGGTCACCCTGACCTAGCCAGTGCATGAAGTTGCCTCCATCTACTACAGGCAACTTCGGGTCTGATTCCCCAAATGAATTCAGAAAATCTAGCATCATCTTTCAACTCAGCACACGCAAGTGCATCCTCAGTGGGGTTAATCAAGAGCATCCCCAGTAAAGCTAAACCGGGGCATTCGCAGAACCAAACCGGGGCATTCGCAAGGCTCAACCGGGGCATTCGCAAAGCTAAACCGGGGCATTCGCAGGGTTCAACCGGGGCACTCGTAGGTGTCCATTCCCATCTCTTATCCCCAAGTGATTCAAGAGATAATTCCACAGCGTGTGTAAACTTGGGACATGTATTCGGAGGGATCCACATGGTGTTCAGTATCCATTCTTCGGCATATTCACTTATATCACCCCCTCAACAGTTCAGGATGTTTGGAAGTCCGGCCAAGTTATCTCTTCCCAACGGTATGATTCAGAATCCAGCAGTGTACCTAAAGACTCACTTCGTCAGCAATTCAGTTTTCAGCGGAGTCATCAACGATCTTCGGGATCATGGGCTCCCCAGTGCAAACTTTTATCGGTACCCCCAACAATCTTTGGTACTGCAGGCTCCCAATGTCAATATGTATTGACATCCCCAATGATGAGCAGTGGTTCCCAGCAAACCTTCTTTTTATCCCCATGAAGTTTATTTCTTCTCATTGCATATAGTTATCATTACATATCATTGCATCCTCAAAAGCGCGTAGCTGATCCATCAGAGTGGATCTTTGCGTCAAAAGAAATTCAAACATGCATACAAAGCATAAGCCAGATCAGGTACCTTACAAAAAGACCTGAATTATTCAAGGACAACAATACATCCCTACAGGAGAGTATCATGCCCAAAATCCCCAGTCGAGGACCTTCACCTTTTCAATGCCAAGCAAAATCAATACACTTTGTCGTTCTAAACCCAGTTCTTGTCTGGTAGTCAGTTCCCTAAACACTTGTCCGTGTCCATTCCTAAGCACTCGTATGTGTCAAGTTTCCTAAACACCCACCCGGGTCTGTTATTCAAACACTCGTCCGTGTTTAAACTTTTTGATACTCGTCCTTATCTTCTTTCAATACTTGTCCGTATTGATTCAAACACTCGTTCGTGTTCAAACTTTCTTGATGCTCTTCCGTGTCGCTTATCTAAAACAATCATCATGTCATAACCCATGTTCCCTTCTTCGAACCTGAGATCGCCTCTTGGCTAGGTTCTTCCTTCAAATCATCGTCGAACCTGAGATCGCCTCTTGGCTAGGTTCGTCCTTCAAATCATCGTCGAACCTGAGATCGCCTCTTGGCTAGGTTCTTCCTTCAAATCATCGTTGAACCTGAGATCGCCTCTTGGCTAGGTTCTTCCTTCAAATCATCGTCGAACCTGAGATCGCCTCTTGGCTAGGTTCTTCCTTCAAATCATCGTCGAACCTAAGATCGCCTCTTGGCTAGGTTCTTCCTTCAAATCATCGTCGAACCTGAGATCACCTCTTGGCTAGGTTCTTCCTTCAAATCATCGTCGAACCTAAGATCGCCTCTTGGCTAGGTTCTTCCTTCAAATCATCGTCGAACCTAAGATCGCCTCTTGGCTAGGTTCTTCCTTCAAATCATCGTCGAACCTGAGATCGCCTCTTGGCTAGGTTCTTCCTCCAAATCATCGTCAAACCTGAGATCGCCTCTTGGCTAGGTTCCTCCTTCAAATCATCGTCGAACCTGAGATCGCCTCTTGGCTAGGTTCTTCCTTCAAATCATCGTCGAACCAGAGATCGCCTCTTGGCTAGGTTCTTCCTTCAAATCATCGTCGAACCTGAGATCGCCTCTTGGCTAGGTTCTTCCTTCAAATCATCGTCGAACCTGAGATCGCCTCTTGGCTAGGTTCTTCCCTCAAATCATCACCGAACCTAAGATCGCCTCTTGGCTAGGTTCTTCCTTCAAATCATCGTCGAACCTGAGATCGCCTCTTGGCTAGGTTCTTCCTTCAAATCATCACCGAACCTAAGATCGCCTCTTGGCTAGGTTCTTCCTTCAAATCATCGTCGAACCTGAGATTACCTCTTGGCTAGGTTCTTCCTTCAAATCATCACCGAACCTAAGATCGCCTCTTGGCTAGGTTCTTCCTTCAAATCATCGTCGAACCTGAGATCGCCCTTTGGCTAGGTTCTCTGTCAAATCACTCTCACGTGTCACCCTCAGATCGTAGGTCGCCCGTAGACCTCGTCCGCTGTCTTTTCATACCAACCATTTGTCTTATATTGGCATCAAGCCACGTTACAAGTCCAATCTTTGTCTCTTCATTGAAAAACAATTTTTTTTCTCCCCAATAAATATCACAAAAATATAAAGAAAACACTTACGCTCTCCCTCAGGACAAATTTTTGGCATTGATATTTAATCATCTTCAACCTTGAACTTCCGAAAGGCATGTGCCAATCGTACTTTCAGGTTTAAGACGATTAAATAGGGGCAGCTGTAATACCCCAAATTTATCCTACCCTTTTACTTCCTATCTGGATTATGCATTTTTGCATTTTTTCCCACATATATAATTTCCATTAGGTCATCTAACACATCATGCATCATCAATCAATAAATTGGCATAAGATCATGGATTTCGAGGAATAAGGGTTGGTGTATGGCTTTTTCTCTAACACTGTGGACTTCTTTTAGCGATACAATTGTTGGTTCTCATCAAATACCTGCCGCTTCAATTGTGAGTCATCCCAAGGCTATCTCGAAAGGCTGCAAGCTTGAGCAGTGAGGAACATCATCTTATACTTATCATCTCCACATGAATGATGATTTATTTCCATAATCATATAGACTTCAAGAGGGATTCCGTGTGTATTGGTTCTTCAATAAATTTCAAAGGGGTTCTATAATTACTTAAGGTGCAAATGGTTGAAGATTTTGATATATCCATGGCCATTAAGATCTTGTTCAAGGATGCTTCAATATGTCATACAAAAAGGTTATCATGTAAGAAAATCGTATCTTTTACGAGTTAATATTTCAAATGGTCCTTTCTTCGTCAAATGAGGTTTAGCTATTCCTTGTATGTTCACGAGCTCTAGGCAAGAGAAGAAGATTCAATGGGATACTATTTTCCAAATTGGAGTTTGTACACTTTATGAGGCAAAGCTCTTCGTCGGGTCTATTCGCTTACTTGTGATATAAAATGCTTTGGGGGACTTCATTTCAAAAAAAAAAAACATTAAAATTAAAATCCTAAGCTTCTTCAATTATGGTTTTGAAGTGAGGATTAAGAAAGGTACAGGGCTCGTTCATTTGAAGGTGTTTAGGCATGTTTTCATTCAAAAGCAAAGAAACTCGACGTTACAAGTTTGTCCTTGGAAAAGGCTCTTATTAAATTCATATCACAACCATGGAGTTATATGCAATATAAAATTAAAAGATCTTGGAGATACAAAAGGCAATTTGGAAGAGAAGACTACTTGGAATATTTGGGCTTCATCATTAAAATTCAAGGGTTCACATTCATTCAATGATATAATCTTTACAAGTTCTAAAGCATTACTCGTGACTTGTCAAAAGGTTATCCAAATTCATTCTCGTTCATTCAAGGTCATAACCATGCAATTTACAAGCGGTGTCATTAGAACATTACAAGAGAAGATTTCAAAAGGGCGTTTACATCCAAAATTACTAAATAAATAAAAAAACAAGAATTTACATTAAATATTCAAGTGGTCTAAAGCTAAAGAATTCTAAACCAAGGTCTCCATCATTTCTAAACGTATTTATCTTCAAGCCACTATCTTCTAAGATTTCCCCATTCCAACCTGGTTATGTCCAAGCCTCAGTCCATGTTTCATACCAAAAGAAAACCTGCATAAACAACCATTTTTCAAGCCGGTTCAGTACCAATATGTAATCAAGTTAATTTAATTTAAAATACAAAAATCAACAATTACACCAAGTATTATGTGCTTAAAACAAACCAACACAGTTTTAGAAATATACTCATCCATTTTGATGATACATTTGATGGACTCACCCTTTGAGCATGTAATCAAAAGCTTTGAAAATGGTATTCTGTGGGTAATGAATTCCTTCAGTTCCAGCTCCTACAGCAAGTGTTAACACATTAACAATACAAATAACGTATCATTCTGCAATACTAGTTAATCTTCCTACAATAATGGAGTTTTTGATGTCAACTGGATTAAGGATGATACACAGATCCTCACTACTTCTGGTGATCAAACTGTCAAGGTATGGGATGTTCCAGAACAGAAGTGTCTTGGAGTGTTAGTGGGGCATTTGGGGAGTGTGAAATCTATTTGTTCTCATCCAACTAATTCTGATATTCTTGTCTCTGGTTCAAGATGTAACTTCACTATGAAGAATAGACGTGGAGAATGTAGCATAAGTTCGATAGCTGATGTCAAAGGAGCACACGATCCGTCTCAAGCACAGCGGGTAAGGAGGTGCAAATCTAAGGGTGCTTCCATGACTATTACATCTGTTCTTTGGCTCAAGGATCAAGTTTCCATAGCCACTTCTGGTGCAGCGGATAGTGTGCTGAAGTTTTGGGATACCAGAAACTTAAAAAGCATTGTCACCCAGACATGTCCTCAACCGCAGTCAACAGGAAAGCAAAGATTACATGGTATTTCTAGCTTGTCCCAAGATGACAGTGGAGTTTTACTCTCAGCTTCCCGCATGGATAACCGAGTTTATCTATATAATATACTTCAACTTGAAAAAGGGCCTTTAAGATATTTTGGAGGAGGTCGCATTGATTCATTTTTGTAAAGGCTGCAATTAGCCCCGATGCATCAAACATAGTCTGTGGTTCCAGTAACGGGAAATCACATGTTTGGAACGTTAACAGACCTCAGGTGGAACCCACTATTTTGAAGAGTCACTTCTAGGAAATTACTGCAGTTGACTGGAGCCGCTCTGACCATGGGAAATTAGTAACTGCTTCTGATGATTTCACAATCCGGATATGGAATAAACTCAATTATGCTTCCACACCAGTTATTCCATTTGCCATCCGAAGAAGAATTATGGCCATGCCTAAAGTAGAGTGCAAAATGCTCTTAAACAATGAAGAAATTTACCCCAAGTCCATTGACGATGACCTATTATCTGATGGAACTCTGCACAACCCAATAAAGTCAGTGATGCCAACGACCCCGCCTAAAATTGCTACACCTGAAAGCCATAAGAACCAACTTTCCATTTTCCCAAACTAACTAACAAATCTATAACTAACTACTAACCTCTAACAAACCAAGCCTAACAGAATCTAATCTCTAACTGTCTTAACCAATTTTTGCCAGCTCATTGTAACTAACTCATGAGAGGTTCAATCCCTATCATTCATTGCTCTAGCTGACTCTCAAATTCAAGGGCCTATATTTGTTCACCTGTAACAAACTTAGCTTATATATAACAGAGTCTGCATTTCACAATAGGAGAGAAAATTTTTTTTTCACGATTCACAGTAAATCACGAGATACTCACCTTTGAATCTTTCTGAGATATTTTTTGAAGACTTCACTCTTCTCTCAATCATTGTTTCACCGTCATCTTCATCTTTCTTTCTCATCACCACTTCAATTACACCTTCCCCATCAATCTGTTGCAATCTTCACAACTCCGCTCTTCATCATCATCCGCGACAGCACAACAACCTCGCTCATCAATAGCAATCGACTGAAACTCAGAACAAATTTCGAAATCGCAGAAATAGAGAAGAAGAGAAGGAAAAAAAAGATGAAGAAGACGCATACCTGAGCCTTTGTTCTCTGGCTTTCTTGTCGGAGTCATTGTTGAAGAGGCATCGGACGCTTCGCACACATTGAATCCAGCTTGCACCTCCTAGGGTCTTATTTTCGATACTTATTTCGATTGCGTTTTCCATTAATTTTGGCGATTTATTTTCTTTTGCAATATTGGTAAATAAAAGAGATTTCTTTTCAATTCTCTCACTTTTTCTTTTCAATTTTAATCATTAGTTTTACTCATTTTTATGTCATGTGTTTCGCTTGCAATTTTTATGGATTATATGCGATATTTTGATACTTGCTGCCTAATTTTACTTGTTCGTATATTATTTCATGATTCCTTAGTACGGGTCTCTTCTCGATCTTATTGTTCTTCATCTCAAGCATAGGTGTGGTTCAATTCTCAAAAACTCCTTTCGTAGCTAAGTAGAAAAATGACTAATATCTCTCTCTTGAGGTCAATCAGTCATCATCTACAACAAAAATACAAAACAAATTCAAATCTTTTGTGCGCTCGAGCACTTTTCTTTAAAAAACCCTTTTCAGGTAAGGACACGATTAATTTACTTCTGTGCCAACGCATAAGTCTCCGAACGTCGAGCTGCGGCAGAAGGCGGAATTAACTTCGTCCACAAAAAAACATCTATAACAAATATAAACCAACTCAAATCTTTTGTGCGCTCGAGCACCTTTCTTTAAAAAAAACCTTTTCAGGTAAGGACACGATTAATTTACTTATGTGCCGACGCATAAGTCTCCAAAGGTCGAGTTGCGACAGAAGGCGGAATTAACTTCGTCCATAAAAAACACAAAACAATAAAAACATATGAGCCGAACTACGGTAGCTCTGATTCCTCAAAAAGGATATGTAGGCATTGGGGTAGGGCCCAGGCGAGCACAATTTTATTTTCCCTACATTCTTTTCCCCCTTTCTTTTGCATGCATTCTCCCTCCAGTAGTATAATAAACAGTAAGCATAGATTAAACACACCCATAAGATAGATAACAAGAGTGGATACCGTAGAGTACTACGGGCGTGTGGGGTGCTAATACCTTCCCCTCGCGTAACAGACTCCCTTACCCGATCTCTCGGTCGCAAGACCGTGACTTCTCCCTTCTCAGGTTTTCTCGATGTTTACCTTTCCCTACATGTGGGATAAAAGACGTTCGATGGCGACTTCATTGTTTTGATGATTTTCAGCCGGTTGTTTCAAGTACATCATGCCTCTTCAGGCTTACAAAGAAGTACAAAACTCTAAGATAAAAAAGTTGAACGCATCCTCTTCGGTCTTTCCCTATATTTTTTGGGATATATAAAGTTAGGTGGTGACTGTGTTTATTCCATCCGAAGTTATTCATTTTTATTTCGAGTAGCTTTAGCTGGAGATTCTGCTGGGAAAGTAAGCAAGCCAGTCCTAGCTTATTTGTTTTCTTCTCTTGGGTGTTTAGCTTTATGATTTACTTGCTTCATTTTATTGCATTCGTTTATTATACCTTGGATATTCTGGATATTTGTATCTATTTCTTTGTTGGGTGGGAGTTACTTGAGAGATAAGCCCGATACACATGATTTAGTGTACCCATAAGTTTTAAGAAGTGGATAGTCATAGAATCTAAGGGGTAGATACCCTATTAGTATGACATGAGAACCACACCCAAATTAGGTTTACTTTGGGGTACAATTGTTATGACGTAGATATGTTACAACACTGTACTTTTCAAAGGGACTCACGACTATGGGAATACCTCAAGGAATCTTTACCCAAATTAGAACTCACATGTGAGAGGGTTTGGGCTTGTTGACAGGAAACTTTGACCTTCATCATACCCTGGTTATCTTACAAAGACTTCTTCAGAGATTCAGTATTCCAATGATTCGGGCTTATCCAAAGTTGTGAGCCCATGCTTGTGCATAAATCATTTGCATCATAACATAGAGTCTAACCCACATATGCATGTCATTTCCATGGTATTTGTGGGTTGTTGTATTAGTTGAGAGTATAGAAAGATGGATGAAGACAGAAGACACACCAAAGTATATAGGTTACCTAAGCTTGCCCTTGATAACTTAAGAAGGTTGAGTTTGCTTGTAGTTTCTAAACATAAAGATGACTTCAAAAGGACCTATGGTAACCTCATTCCTCTTATGAATTCCAAGGTTGATACCATGGCTCTACAAACTCTCATCTAGCTCTATGATCCTTCTTTAAGGTGCTTTACATTTCAAGACTATCAACTCGCTCCTACATTGGAAGAATATGCTAACATCCTGGGAGTTGAAGTCAAGGATCACATGCCTTTTGTCACTTCACAACCGCAATGTTACACTTGATTGCCGAAGCACTTCATTTGACCTTAAGATAAGTAAAGGATAATTGGGAACCTAAGAAGGATGGCACATTGGGTTTCAATTTACAATTTTTGATGGATAAAGCCATAATCTTTGCCAAAAATGAGAGATGGAGGTTCCTTCAACGCCTTGCTAGCTCTTATGATTTATGGAGTTGTCTTATTCTCCAGCTAAGAATACTTAATTGATGCAAAATAGTCTTCATTTTTGTGATAAAAAATCCCGTACCTACACTTCTTGCTGACAGATACCATTATGTTCATTCAAGGTTCAAGAAAGGGGGGACTGTCACCTGTTGCATGCCTCTCTTGTACAAGTGGTACATGGCTCACTTTCCTATAAAGGGACCTTTTATGGATAAGAAATACACCCTCAAGTGGTATCAAAGGATCATAGGGCTCACTTCTCATGATATCAGATGGTTCAACAATGAGTATATTGGTATTGAAATCATTTTCAGTTGTGGCGAGTTCACGAATGTACGAATCATGGGAACCAAATAACGAATCAACTACAACCCAGTGATGTGGAAGGGTCAACTAGGCCATTATCTACCCGGTCCACCAAAAGATAAAGATGTAGAAGAAACCGTGTTCTACAACAAAGGAGGGAATCTTGAACTGTTAGCAAAAGTAAGAGAAGCTTGGAAGAAAATTCATTGCAAAGGAAGAAGAAGTTTGGGAAGAAAGGATTGGATAGCGAAAGCACCCTAAACTAAATGGCTAAAGAAAAGAGTTGAAGTTTCTTTGCTACCATTTCACCTTAAGGCTCCTATGTATCCACCACCATTTCACCACCACTGCCGCTTTCATGGAGGTCCAGATCCTTAACCAAAAGCTGAGTAGAGAAAATGAAGCTTTAAGAACACATGTTACCAAAGCAGGCATCCCAAAGAGTGATTTGGCTTATCAAGTCAAGATGAAAGATGAGTTGCTTGCAGAAAAAAATAGGTTGATCAACAAAGAAACGAGCAAGAGAATAAGAATTGGTGAAGATCTGGAATCATCTTACTCCACCATCAACAATAACAAATAGGAATTTTTTGTACCCCAAAATTTTCCCTCCCATTATTGATTCAAGATACCTCCTCATGCTCTTATAGTTCTCAAATACCTCAAGTGGATTTCGTGGTTTCTCATATGTCTCAAAGAATCCTCATGCGAAATTTCAAGCCTTGCATCATAAGTTTGCTCAGTCAATTGCTCAAATGATTGAAAATTAACTATATTGGGCAAAAAGTCAACTTTGACCAATTTACAGTCAAACTTCAAGATTTTTGCTCAACATCAACATTTTAAAGTCACATTAATCATTTGATAAAGGTTTGATCATGATTCATCAAGAAGACTCAAGATTCATCAAAAGTCAAAAGTTACTAAATTAGGGTTTTCTTAAGGAGAAGTCAACTGAACTTTGACCAAACATAACTTTCACATGCTTCCTCATATTTTTCTCAACCAAAGCTCATTTTGAAGGAAGTTCAATTCTATACAATTTTGTCTCTCTAAGCTCAAGGCAAAAAATGCTTCAGTTGAGAGATATGGGCCAAAACATTACAAGTCATTTTAAAAGTCAACAAAAAGACACTTTTTGTCAAAGCAATTTACATCAAGATAAAGTCTTAAAATGTAAAATGACCAACATATAGATTGTAGGGGATATTTGAGATTCCCATTAAGTCCAAGATCATATTCATATGACAAAAATTGAGAGAGTTATGATTTGTGCAAGTTGGGCAATTTTGAGAAAATGTATGAAACCCAAATTGAGCAAACTTGAATTTTTGGGCTAATGAGCTTATCTTTTAAGGTCCAAACGTGTTCTTGACCTCATAAGGGACTTCTAAATCCATTCATGCACCATTTTAGTTTTTTATTTTATTTATTTTTGATTTTATTCATTTAAATTCAAAATTAAATCAAATAAATATTAAGTGGAGGTACAAGGCTTAAAAGACTTTTGATTCTTATCTTTTGGAGGCCAAAAATTGCATTAGAGACCGTGTGAACATATTCTTGAAACAAATATTTAGGGTTTTGTCTTATTTCGAGTTATTTTCAAACAAAATAAGAGATATAATTTCATGAAGATGTCTAAGCGCATCTTTGACCTAGTT